TTTTCCGAACTGGACCCGCAAGGTAAACTCACTTTTTGCAGAGGGCTCAACAATAGCAACCATCGGAAGGTTCCGCATTCCTTCGAACATAGTTTGCCTCGCAAAAGGTCCAGCTAAACATGTGGCCTTGATACGGCTTTGCGCCGAGATGGGCATGACTTTCTGTTGTGACAAGCAGGGACTCTGACAATTTGAACCGTTTCGTGAATTCCCGAAGAAAGGACACCACCAAATAAATTTGGCCACCCCCAGACTCGATCCCTAAAGGTAGCGCACGCGCTCAGCGTCCCGGATTTTTTGTTCGTCGTTCGGGGTCAGGTCTGCAGCTTTGAGGTGCAGGGCAACGGCCGGGAGTCCCGGAAGACGGCATCACGACTTTGAAAATGTGCGCAAGAAGAAGCCTGAGGCAAGCGGCAAGCCCCACGCAAACAAACAAAGGATGACGCAATACGACGCAAGACGGGAACGCGGCCCATCTCGACCAATTTCGATTCGATCGGGTCGTTGGAAACAGGCCTTACTCCCAACTTGGTTGGAGAATAAGGGCGGGCTCAAAAGCCGCACACCCCTGGAATCGCGGCAAAATCGTGTAAGCGCTTTGTCGAACGACGAAAATCAACTCATAACATTTTGGAAGGTGGCAACTGTTTCGAACCAGGATTGCCCCGTTCAGGCTACCACATTGAATGAACACAACTGGGCCTCTCAAATAGTGTATGCATCCCTGAAGGCATCCCAACATGTCGAACAAGGTATACTTCACTTGATGCGGAGGTCAGTTGGGCCAACTGCGAACATGCAGCCTCTTTCCGGTGTGCTCGGTTGTTTGAGCCAGGGTTTGTGTTGTAGCCTCATTCGGTATCGTACTTGGGGCGCCCATGTAAATCACTCACTTTGGGATGGGGGGGCTGTCGTGGAAAGTAGTGACCTTGAAGCAATCAACCTCGCGTGGGCTTCTGCAGCCCTAATCATTCAAAGCATATCGCTAATCAGTCCGAGTTCGAAATTATAAGGAAGCTGGAGTTTGTTTCTTCGCTACAACACTGGCTGTAGCTTATCACCTAAATGCTTGCCAAAATCAAAGCGACTCTTTGCATTTCAGCCTTGCTTTGGACGGGTGTCTTTCTCATCTTGCTCTGGTTTTCGCTCCCTTTGTGTCAAACGCGACTGCCGGTAAAATAGGTTAAAGGAACCTCCGTGGACGGACAATCGTTACAGACCTCAATACAAACCTCTGTAGCAAGACCCGCTGGCACGTTACACAGCCCTCGTTGCATATCTTCGTTACACACCTCACATGAACAAAACTGCCTGCTGGCTACATGCCCCTCGTTGCATACCCCGTACAGACTCTCTTTGCAGGGCATGCCTTCGCTGAAAAGATAGAAGTTGGAAATGCCACCGGCAGAAAGAACAGTCTTTCTGCTCCATACCTCGTTACACCCCTCGTTACATTGCCGTTACATATACGTTCCTACACCCAGCAACCCCCTTTTTGCCGTCGCTTGGCTTGCCTTGACTAGTTTCAAGTTTGAAGCTAGATCTGCGGGTGTGCGCTTTTGCGCTTCAAACCACCCCTGTTCGGAGGCTTCAAAACCTGACACACCTTCTAAACCAACCACTGGGCACCCCATAGGCCATGTTCAGCTTATTCACAAGCTCAGTTGTCCAAAGCCGACCTTTTGACCTTTTGGTTTTCCCATTTTGGCTCATTTTTTGTAGTGCCAAAAGGTGATCACCTTTTAGTTCTGGGCCCTTTGGGCAACTGAGCAAGGAAACCACCACTTCACCACTTCCCTGGGCTCCACGTCGCACCCGGTGCCCAGCCCTGCTGGAGGCCTAAACAGCGGCATCCACCGCTTAGCCCTGGCGGATCAGACCTTCGCCTGCGGCGACGGCGGGCTGGCTCCGGGCTCCGTTCGCGGTTGGGTCGGGGTTGGGTTGGGGTTTGCTCAGCCCCATTGTTGGGGACAGGGCTCCACTTGGCCATGGGTCAAAAGCTTTGGTTAGCCCCCAGTGAACATCATCCAAACACTAAAATAAGTTCTAAAATGGGTGGTGCGCCTATCCCAAAATGGTACCATTGGTTTTTGAACAATGGCCAATGGCCACTTCAAAATCAACCAACATAAATACGGGTGCCCTTCTTAGCATCCTGAGGTTGCCAGGGTTCAACAGGCCTTTCAACGGCCTTTCCAACACTGAGTCTCTGGCTCCCGTGGCTGAGCGAGGCAGAGTTTTATGTGCTTGCCGACCACTTTTGGCTGCGTAATGCGGCCCTGCGGTATGGTATACATCTAGCTATCACAGGGTGCATTGAGATACCCCTTCTGAATTTGTGCCGGTTAAATATTTGGATGTTGGATTGTGCAGGTGTTTTGCTTTGAGATGTGCTGATTCAGAAGCCCAGCCTCAGTTGTGTCCATCCAACACGGGTAACTAGGCCAGACAGATTGGTTTCGTGGCTGCCCTCGACCTCCAGTCACTTTTTTGGCACGCCGGCAGAACCTCCGCTGAGGAATGCCTAAGAGAGCCATCGTGGGTAGTACCTGAAATGATGCCCTGCTAAGCCTGACGGTCATCGAATCTCCCAGAGATATCATGGAATTTCTTACAAACATAAGGCTTCCTCTGCATGTCCAACTGTTACAATGCGACAAGCGCGCGTTTTGACAGGCGTCCATGATCCGTCCGCGATAACCAACGCACCCCATTGCTGACCGAAGACGCGCTACTGTGAGAAGCGCGCTCCCAAGTGGAAGTTCAGATTAACGAGTTTGGCTTTCATTGCCGCCTGCAATATAGCTGCGCAGGGCTTTCTAGAGCGTCTAAATCAGGAACCCGTTTTGGCAGGTCACCCTGGCTTGAATCATGGCTTGGACAGATGGATGTCGGAGAATTCAACAGAAGCCGTCTATGCTGTGCAAATGGGCTTGAGTTTCTTGATGATACCCTTTTCAGGTTGTTCTGGCGGGAAACCAAATTTGAGAACCGCCACTTTAGCGCCGCCCACCTTGATACTTGCCTGCGTTATTTTGTTTGCCACTTCTTTGGACATTGTTCCTCATTTCTTTGGACACGCTGTTCTCCAAAGTCACGGCAAGTTCCGGCATGCCCGCCGCAGCTTCGAAGAAATCATTCAAACTTCATCGAGGGTCATAGAGTCATACGGGATACTCGGCCTTCAACGAGTGCCTATTTGACAGAGTTGGCCCATTGCTTGCGACCATGGTACAGCACCCGTTTGCATCTGGTTTTTCTCTAGAATGCCCCCTAGAACCCATCAAAGGCCAGGCGTCATGTGTTGCCCGTGGCCGCTGGGCAAGTAAGCGCTTCACCGAAGCTGACCGCCATCCCGAACATCCCGAAACTACACCGGCGGAGGCCACCCCGCCGATGGAAAATGTACCGGGGGTGCGACACCTTGTACTCGCCTTGCGAAGGTCCAATGTTTGTTAAGGTAGAGAGACTGCAGGTGTATGTAACACACTGCGCCTAAGGCGCGCGCCTAAGGCCACAGGAGCTCCAAGCGGCCGTTCAAAAAAAACGAAGAAAACAATCAAAAAAAAACAACGAAAAAAACATATCAAAAAAACCGGGGAGAAAAAACAAAATAAATCCGCACCCGGAAAACCAATGCCAGGGTTGGTTGCGGCCCACGTTTCCCCGTTGCCCAGCTGCCGTCCTGGACACCGCCACCCGCCGCCGTCGAGACATCGCCAACAATCCGTGCCCTCGATGGCTTTCTTTTGGGGGAGGGTTCATTGGGCGCCTGTCGAGCTTCCCTTTACACCCAACTGGTCACCCAACCAGTCAAATTCACGAGACTTGTCTGATCCCATGGGAAACCGTTGGGCAGCAAGTTGGGCAAACTCAAAGGATTTAGAGGTTACTCTTATCAGTGCTTCGACCTTGGTTTTAAAGCATGCTCGATTTGTTTCCGGTCATCAGGGTCAACCACAACGTTTCATGTCCGGCTCCTGCGCCCTGACACCAAGCATGCTTGAGAGAGCTCTTTTTGCGGCGGAAATTGGGAGGAATGCGGCGGAAATCGGCGGGAATGCAGCGGAAATTCCCGGAAAGCAAACGGTGTTGCGGCGTTTTTGTTTTGGTTGCGGCGTTTTTTGGGGTTTGCGGCTGATTTTCTGGAATGCGGCGGGAATTTCCGCCGCAATGCGTTGCGGCAGAAATTTCCGCCGCAGGAAGTTCTAGGTATATATATATATATATGTTGATATATGTATTTACTGAGAGGCAAAACCAATCTCCACTACACTTTTGAAGGTAGTGGTTGCCGTATTCTCGCCCACCTCTTCAACCAGGTTGAGGCCGGGGTCTGGAGCCTCCCACGCATTTTTGGCACTGCTCGTCTGGCCGTTTTGCAAAGGGGCTGGTCCTGCCCCTCTCGCTAAGCGCCTTATTGCGGTTCTGCCCATTGCCTACCTGGCCTGGTCTTCTGCCCGCTTCCGGGCGTCCACGGAGTGGCAGCGGCAAGTTGCATGAACAAGCACTTCCTTCAGTGCGCTCCGAACCCTCCAAGATTCTGAGCTGCTACCTGCTTCCTCTTTTGACCAACGACGTCTATCGGGAGTATGAGCGTCACGGTGGTGAAAGGTTCAGTTCAGAGGCGGAGTACCTCAATGCGATCAACCACTTCGCCGAAATGCTTTGGGAGCGCAAAGCCCACATTACTTACTTGGTGGTGGCTTCTCATGATGGAGTCACTTATCACGTGCAGCATTTTCGCTGGTTGCTCGACCGGCGGAACTGTCTGGATTGAGAGCAGGACATTCGTTTGACAAGCTTTTGTTTGGCCCTTTTCTGTTTGATGTGAATTCTGCTGATCTTTTGTCTGGCACGGCTACTGTTGACACCCGGAAGCTTTTCCAGTCTCATCACTTGGGGGCAGCAATGATGGAGAAGCAGTCTTTGCCGCCTGGTTTCAGTTTTTTACGCTCCACTGCTAATATCAAGATTGCTTTGTTTTTTCCTCAGCACATTCTCACGTCTTCGACAGAGGAATTGGCTGACTCCATTTTTGGACCTGGAAAGTCACGCGTCGGTCCTCGAGGCAGTTACACAGACTGCAATTTGACATTCTTTTGTAAGGCGACACTGTTCCGGGATTTGCAGAACGATGTCTTCGCCTTCAAGGCTTTGGGCTTTGTTACTGTCATCCTTTGGAAAGGAGCGGTTGTTGAAAATTTTGAGGAGGATCTGCCCGAGCAAGATTTTGAAGAACAAGGATTCTCCATCCCGGTTGATGGAGCGATGCGTGATCTGCTGAAAGACTCTTCGAGGTTGGCCAGAGTGAGCAAAAGATTGCCGCTTCAGCTTGGGTGATGGAGGATGTCAACCGAACACGCGCCTTGAATGTTGTGAAGGCATTACGATCCCTTTCGGGAAGTCCATGGCAACGGTGGCAGCCATTGCACTTGTTGGCAAAGCTGTGCGCATTCCATCAACACGTTTTGCCGGAATTCAGCTTCCAGAGGAAACCCCAGGCAATCCCAGGCGCGAGCATTTCGTTTAATGTGTTCCGAGAGCCAGGTGTGTTGCGTTCAAGCCCCCTTTGGAACAGGCAAGGACACACCTTTTGCGTTCTTTCATCAAGGCGGCACGCACCCAGTCCAAGCGGGTTGTTATTTGTTCTCCCTCCAATGAACTTGCGATTGAGACTTCAGTTTCTCTTGCGAAGGAAGGGGTTGAGCATTCACGCATCCTTGGAGGGATTTTGCCTCCTGAGGTTGCGGGCGGTGTGTCTGGCCGCAGGGTTGATATCACTCATGAGCTCCCCGTGTGTATGTGGATGATGGGTATCTTACTGTTGTCGATCCCGAGGCCATCCAGTCCTTGGCGCTTGCTGTGCGTGCCACCTCCATGTTTGATGCGCTGGCGGGCCAACTGTTGAACCTTCACAAGTCCGGCTGGTGGAGCGCCCAGGAGGCCTTTGTCCCTGTGCTACGGGACGCCCTCCCGCAAGCCCGCCTTCGCTCCTTGCGTCCGTTGGGGGTGTGCATCAACTTGGATCTTCGCGGGCGCTCGGGACTCACGAGCTTCGGCCATTGCCCGTTTCCGGCGCGCTCTCCGTGCCATTGGGGCCCTCACGCTGGGGCCTGCTGCCAAGGCCACTTCCGTTGCTAGGAAGGCCATGCCGATGCTCACCTACTCGGCCGAGCTCAACACAATTCCCAAGCACCTGCTGTCTTCACTTGCCTCGGATGTTGCCGCTGTTCTATGGGAGGGCCGACCAGCTTGGCGGTCTCGCGACCTCCTGCTTGGTGTGGTCTATCGCGGCGGGTCCGCACGGCTTCGGCGGTGGGGACCCCGGGTTTGCTTTGTGGCAGTACAGCAGCTACGGATTGAGCCTCGCTCTCCGTGTCGTTTTTTTCACCTGCGGCTTACGAACTGTGCGTGGTGGCAGGGCGGCATGCCCTGCTCACCAGCACGCGTGACCGAGCGTGTGCTGAGAGCCAAAAGGGTCCCCTTTTTCTCCAGGGTCACTGAACAACTGAGTTCCGCTCCCGTTTCTTTGGCGGACTTCACCATGACCCAAAACTTGGCGCGGTTTTCCGCTTGGATTGGGCGGGGGGGGGGGCCAAAGGCAAGGGACCGGCCCAAAGGTGTCGAAGTTCTCGGAGCTCTGGGTGCAGGATGGTCCAAATCGCGGCGAGCCGCCAACATGCAATCAAGCACATCAGCATTAACATATTTGTATAAATATACATTTTTCTATATATATATGTTGATATATGTATTTACTGGGAGGCAAAACCAATCTCCACCACACTTTTGAAGGTATATAGTGGTTACGTTTTGGGTGGCGGCACGCTTTTGCAATCCGTGCGAAGAGCAAGCCCAAGTTGCAGGCCCTCGGGCACAGAGACGACGCTGACAAGGGAGGTTTGGAGCCGAAGCCAAAAGTTGCTAAGATTCTAGGGGTTTGATTTTCCATTATTTTCAACCATCGTTCTTTTCAACAACCTGTTTCCCTGGGTGTTTGATGGATTCCTGGAAAGACTAATCCCTGGAAAGAATGGGGAAGGTACCCCTAGAAAGATTTCGTGTGGAACGCGTGCAAACCAACAGCTCTAGGAATGGGTGTTGGTCCCCAGCGCACCTGCCCCTTCAAGTGATGAATGAACCTACTAGGTCGAGGGCTTGGAAGTTATGCCTTCGGACTTGATTTTGTTGTACTGTTTTTATAGATCCAACCAAGTCAGGCAACGGTGCCTCGTGGAGAAGATAACTTCGCGTGGCACATGGAAGCCAAACAGCAGGTGGCAACGTCAGGCTCCGAGGCTCTGCTTATCCGCGTCGCTTCAAACGAGAGGTACACGGCGACGGGCGTCACAGCAGAGGGCTACCTCACCTTTACAGTGGACCCCATCCAGGCGAGGCCCGGATCGTTCGAGTGGGTTTCGGAGCTTTGGACTGGATGTGTTTTTGTTTCTGATGAATGTAATCTCAAGGGAGTATATACCTGTATAGTATAAGTGGGATACCTCCATGCGAAACACCAGTTGAAACTGCCCTTCCGAATCTTTAGCTCAGGGTTGCAAATCTGAAAGCAGTTTCCCAGGATTTCTGGTTTGGGCTTGGCCAGCACTCCATTTTGAGCAGCCTAGACAGCACTCACCAAACCGCAAGGGCTGAAGATCAACCAGAAGGCTATGCAATTTGTCTAGGTCTCGAGTAGTGCCCTTTTACCGTTTCTTTTTTGCGGGGAGGGTTCCCCTACTAAAAAGAACTACAGCAAAAGGGGTACCCTTATTCTAACCTCCCTGCTGGGACCTAGTTGTACACAGGCTCTTCTTCTGCTTTCGTTGTCCGTTCAAATCTCTTCGCTTGTGTGAGTGTCACTGCGGCCCAGGTTATTTTTTGCGGAGACTAGGGAGACCCAAGCCAAATCGGCCAAGTGGGGGGGGAGGGGTGGCCTCGTATGTGCTAGAATAGGGGAGGTATATCGGTGGTTGAAGGGTAAGTAACTGCACCACATTCACCCACTCAGCACGACTTGGAAGTGAGAGGTACTCATCAATATCAGGAAAATTGGGGCCACATATTCGCAATTACTTCAACTACAATCAGACAGTGTAGTAGTAACAAGCTATTTTTACTTGTTCCACTTTCTCTACTTCATCTATTATATCCATATCCTCTAAGTAACGTGTATTCATATAAATAATGAGGTAAATTCTAATTAATGTTGTTATTTAGAATATTCGGGGGCACTAGGCAACACATGAGCGGGGTTCAACCAATTGAAAACTAATTATCTTCAATGCGTATGATTGAAGCAATGGAAAACCTGTTCCATTTTTATGATATTCACTACCATCACATCATTAAACAATACATATATATATATATCCCATACAATAATAAACATTATTATTTTAATAAGTATTTATAGTATTTGATTATGTTTGATAATTCACCACCAGTTATTGAACCTATCAGTGTTAGGCAATATCAGTTTAAACAACCATCATATGATAAAGCGAATAAATTACCGTTTCGTAGTATTGTTGTTAGTTTATCACAAGGCGGTATAGGTATCCTAATACAGATTCTCGTATTAAAACTGCTTAGAAAGAATATGCATCGTCTCACCGACAGCCACGATTGATGAAGCGTATAGAGAAATTATTAAATACGTAGAAACTAAATTAGAAGTCGACAATAACAAAGAACAATATTTACTTGAATAATATAAGCCCGAAGCCATTGCAAAACATAATTGACACACAACATAAACTTACAGGTTATCAGAAGAAAATAGGAATGAAGACAGCGCAGGTACGGGATGGGTGGCTTGTTCAAGGAACGAACATCCCCAACCGCCCAGTCTATGTTCGCCACTGCTACAAGAAGATGCGAGACTTGTTGTTCAACAAGGATGCACTGGACAGCACGGACAAGCAAACCTACGTCATCAGAGGAACCCCAGGAATTGGCAAGACAACGAAATTGTATTACCTGCTTTCCGAGTGCTTGAAGGAGGCTTCACCATTTACAGCTGTGCCTGCTACGAAGCAGTGCGTTGTTGCGCGAAAGGGCGCGTTTCCCCGATGTTGTTTGTCAAAACCATTCGGGAAAAAGGGTATCTGGTTGATCAATATAAGACTGCTCCCAGCTTTGACCATGTAATTTTTGTTGCCATATAAACCTGCCCCCAGTTTTGACCATGTATTTCTCACTTCCTGAGTTCATGAACTTTACACTTTTTGGGAAGACCATTTTGGTGGTAAATCAGAAGTTTGGTTACTTTTTTGGGGCCATCCACTCAGCAAGTGAGATTTGATTTTCGCCTTGGAGGTCAAAGATCTTTCCCCAAAATCCAAAAAACATGTTTTTTTCCCCATGTATTTTTTTCCCCCAAAATCCATCAGCACGCCCAGGCCTTGGAGGTGCTAACGCTCTGCGTTTGTGTGCCGCCGCCGGGAGGCAGCCTTTGCAGCGTTAAGGACTCAGACGTTTTGCGCCGGGTCCAGAGAAAAACCACCTACCCCGTTGCATGGTGGTCGTTGGGGTTTCATTTTTTGCAAATGTTTGCTTCTTGCGGTTTAGTGGTTGAAATCCAAGCACTTAACGGCTCAAATCCGATTTTTTTTGCTCCCCTTCCATCGTCAAGCAAGGTTTTGGGGTGGGTTTAAAGGGACACCAAGAGGAAAACAACCATTTGGGGGGTTCCCCTAAAGGAAACACACACACACACATTGCTTGACTGCTATTGGGTTGGATCTTTAGACTTTGACTTGTTGGGAAATCAAGGGGTTTTCCGCTAAACCTCAAAAAGTTAAACTTTTTGCAGGGGGGTCAACAGCAACCAAGCAACAGAGAAGTTTTTGGGCGCCTAGCAAAAGGGGGGCTTGCCTTGTGGACATTTGGGGATGCATGTCCACCAACTAGGCTTGAGGGTGCTCCCATTTTCCGAGTCACAGTTGTTAGGGAGCCAAGCGAGGCGGCCAGTGGTATGGCCCCTTTTTGGCGCTAGTCAGGTTGCAGTTTGCAGCAATGGTTGCACGTGTGTAAATGAAGGCTTGAACGTCTTTGGCCAAAATGTGCAATTGAGCAGAGCATTGGCGTACCGGATAATTTCGGGGGGTCTCGCTAGTTGTCATATGCGGGTGGCTTGACCGGATATTGCTCTGATTTTAAGTCCGAAAGCCCTCCGACCGGGGTCAACGTTTGTACCTTGCTTGCATCTGTGCCCTTTAGGCAAGCAGTGCTGAAATTCACAGATTTAGAGCCTGGGTCTAGTCTAGCATGATTTGTTGATAGATTGCTTGATCGATTGATGAATTGATTGATTGATTTGATTGATTGATCGATTTGATTGATTGATTGATTTGATTGATTGATTGATTGATTGATTCATTCATTCATTCATTCATTCATTCATTCATTCATTTATTCATTCATTCATTCATTCATTCATTCATTCATTCATTCATTCATTGATTCATTGTTTGATTCATTGTTTGATTCATTGTTTAATTGTTTGATTGTTTGATTAATTTATTTATGTATTGATTCGATTGATTGGATTGATTAGATTGATTGGATTGATTTGGTTGATTGGTTGATTGGTTCATTGATTTGATTTATGTATTTATTTATTTGATTGATTGATTGATGGATTAAGTTGGTTTGTTGGTTGGTTGGTTGGCGTGCTTACTTGCTTGCTTGCTTGTTTGTTTGTTTGTTTGTTTGTTTGTTTGTATTCTAGCTGGTCCTTTTTGTTTGTTTGTTGCTTGTTGACTTGTTTACTTGTGTCTTGTTTGTTTGTGTGTTTTGTTGCTTGCTTGTTTGGTTGGTTGTTAGTTTGTTTGTTTGTTTGCTTGTTTGTCTGCTTTGATTGCTTGTGTGTGTGTGTTTGTTTGCTTGTTTGTTAGTTTGTTTGATTGTTTGTTTGTTCAATTTTGTTTCTTGAGTTGCTGCGTGGCCAATTTAAGTTTTGCTTGCTTGCTTGTTTGCTTGCTTGCTTGCTTGCTTGCTTGCTTGCTTGCTTGCTTGCTTGCTTGCTTATTTCTTTCCTTGTCACGCCTCGAAACTCGCGGACAAGCGATGATTCTTGCACAGTATTGTTGTACGTGGTTTTTCACCAGTGCCCTGCCCCGCCCTGCTCAGCGGCCTGCCGTCCTGTTTATGAGTCTATTAGAAACAGGCTGGCTGCATTGATCCAAAAGTGAGCGAAATGCAAACTTGCATATCCAAGAACTGAGCCGCATGCCCTACGCATCAACGCACTTTGCTCTTCCGGATTGTTGTTTCTTACCTTCGGAGCAGTGACTCAATCTCTCTGAAAATATCCTTTCCTTTTTCGAAGTTACCATGCCTTCTGGAGTCGACGAACTAACTTGAAGTGAGTGTACCCCTCTGTCCCAACCATAAAAGCAACCTTTCATGCGTCTTTGGTCATGGCATGGCGTTTTTTGCCCTGATATCCAGATATCTCCCAAGAAACTCTAGCCGATTCTTGCTTGGGAATAAGGGAATGCTCCCGGGTGTGTCTTTTTTGTGGGTGCCTAGCTTTGGTGGTCTCAAAGGGAAAGCCAAAATGAAAACAACATTTTTTTTGGGGGAGGGTCCCCCAGAAAAGACACTCCTATATATCAGAACAAGCACACATACACGGAGACATCTGCGCACATACGCGCACGCGGACGCGTGCATTCACACACACACACACACACTCCCCCAAAAAATACAAGAACAGATGTTGAATGAAGTAAAATAAATTTCATAACAACTTAACAAAATATAAAATATAGGTTTATAATTACAATATTAAATAAGGTTAATACATTATTCATATTCATTCACCTTATCTAATTACTTGAAAATAATTTTACTTCATTGAAATATTATATAAGGTTAAGAAGTTATTCTACATATTAACCTTATACAATTTTATGTAAAGTATTTATTAATAAAAATAATGTTAATTTTCTTCTGCCTGTTTCATTTCTAAATTTCTTTTATGCTTATCTGTTTTAAGATGTTGCTTTTTTAAACATGGAGAAAAATAACAGTCACAAATCTCACACTGAATTTTTATACTGTTCCATTTTCTATTACTTTCAAGTGTTTTATTTCTATATTCATCATCTTCTTCATATCTTTTTCTTCGCTCCTCATTGTATCTATCTTTATGTTTAATTCGGTTATTCCTTTTGTTTTCTGAACATTGCCTGCATTGTTTATTATCTTTATTAAATTCGTCAAATAGTTTCATTCTACCACAGTTTCTACATAATTTTCCATTATCAGTTTTGAATGAACCGTATTCCAAAATTCCTTCATAAATTTTACCTTTACTTAAAACACAAAATTGTCCTTCCATAGTTCTTATAATACAATGTCATTAAACCTTTAAATGCATTTTAAGAAATTCCTATAATCAATATTCCTTGAAACTAAAATTCAAAAATCCCAAATCCCAAAATCCCCATAATTTCAAAACATAAATCTTACAATGTTTTTTTTATTGTAAGGTTTATGGGTTAATTTACTAGTCATAAACCCTGCCCACCATTTTCGGGGCACCCTGCCCGCCATTTTTGGGCACCCTGCCCGCCATTTTTGGGCACCCTGCCCGCCTGCCCGCCATTTTTGGGCACCCTGCCCGCCTGCCCGCCATTTTTGGGCACCCTGCCCGCCTGCATTATTGTAATGTGATTTTTAGTGTTGTCGTTGGATGAACCTAGAAATTTGAATTTTGAACTCCAACCCCAAACTCGTTTCTTTAATTCACCAAACTCGTCAAAATCTCACAAATCAATTCAGCAGGTATTTTGTATAAATCTTCCTGCTTATGTATTACATAATTATCCCCAGAACCACTACCTGAAAATAATTCTAATAAATTCATATTATTAGAATTATTTAGATATTTATTGTATTAATTCGTATTTTCCTTCTTCGTTCTTAAACAGTTTATAAAATTCAATAGTTTCTGTTTTTGGAGATTTAATTTTGTTCTTATTTAACATATCCATATATTGCTTTTGCTTATCTTGAAAACTGCCAGACGGCCTTCCTATTTGTTTCTTTTCAAAGATTTTATCAATCTTTTCCTTCTCTTCATTGCTATTTTTTGGTTTGTATGCCTTTGCATCAAGTTTCTGGTCAATAGTTTTTATCATCTCGTGCAACAGTTTAACATTTTTACTAACTGTCATTATCTTCCTTGATAGTTCAGCAATAGCATCATTCTCAACTTCAGACATTTCTATATATATTTATTTATATAATTATTTATTTAAATATTTATTTATAAAATTGATTTAATGTAAAATCTACTCTTTAAATACTAATTTATCCCCATTTTGTATTATAGTTGTGTTCCCAAGTTTCTTCGCGTGAGTTTCCGTTGGTTTCTTTGGTTTTCATTGTATGAATTATTTTTATCAATCTTCCACATTTACACGGCAGGCACTTAATGTCAGCACCGTCTTTATCAACTTTGATTTCATTAGCGCGATTGTCTTGTCCTGTTTGTTCTACATACTGATAGTCGCTATAATCATAATTTTCCATTGCTGTTAGTCTGTCTTCAATCGTTTTTATATTTTCGTCCATTGCTTTACTAATTTCTTTCTGTGTTTCTTGGTGATTTTCTATTAATTCACTCATCTGTTCTTGTTTTCCTTTCTGTTCTTTTAGTGTCTTTTCAATTTTATCTTGTCCTTTTTTCTGGTCCTGCATTAATTTAACTATTCTATTTTCTTCTTGTATTTGGTCATTAATTTTGCTTTTGACCATTTATATTAATATTTACATTTTTATTTTTGATATATTGTATTCCTAATTTTATTAATTCTAATGAACAATTGTTTAAATAATGTAAAATCTATGTTATTACCTTATTAAAACTAACATTGACTAAATGATCATTTGTTTCTATTGTCATATCTCCGTCCTTCTTCTTCACTACACTCATTTCTTGGTCTTTCTTCTTGACTGATAACATACACGGAATACATTTAATATTAACACCGCCTTTTTTTTATCTACTATTAATTCATTTTGAAAGTTCATAACATGATTACATTTATCACATTTTATTTCTTTACTCACACCTAATGATTTAACACTTACTGTTGTTTCTTTCCGAGTTTCAATATCTGGCATTGGTCTTTCATTATCTAATATTGAATTTGATTTACTCTTTTTCTTTCTTGGCATTTATATTAATATTTACATTTTTATTGTTGATATATTGTATTCCTAATTTTATTAATTCTAATGTATAAAAGCATACTTTCTTACATCTGTTGTCAGTTATTATCACTTGTTCTATATTCTCTACTTCATCTATTATATCAATATAATCTGAATAACTTCTATCCATATTAAATAATAAGATGAAATAATTATTAAAAATAATTATTTGATCTTATTATTTTCATGCATAATAGAATATTGGTGGGGCACAGCACTTGGGGTTTTCATTGCACACGCGAGCAAGACACAAAACTAATTGTCTTCAATGCTTATTGATTGAAGCAATGGAAAACTGTTCCATTTTTTCATTGATATTTGCCGTCATCATATCATGAAAAAACGATGTTCCATTTAATATTAATTATATATATTTTTCTAAATATCTTTAATATTATTTTATTATGCCTGATGTTCCCATAGTAAAACCAATAAACATAACTGACTATGAATTTAAACAGTCTAAATATGAACACGTGCCAAAATTACCATTTAGAAGTATTATAGTTGCTTCTTCAACAGGTGGCAAAACAGTTCTAATTCAAAATTTGATATTAAATGTATATAAAAACTGTTTCTCTCGTGTCTTTATTTTTAGTCCGAGCGTCCACAATGACCCTACTTTTGTTGAAGTCAAGAAATACCAACGAGAAGAAATGAAGGTGGATGATACAAAAGAGCAAGTTTATTTTGATGAATACCGACCAGAAGAATTGGAAAATATCATTGATACACAAAGAAAAATAATACATTATATGAAAAATACTA